ATTGTGTGAAATCAACTCTGAATATTATACTCGGAGTTAAGAATGAGCAAAACCCATAAAACATTTCTGTATGGTCTCTTTCACCTGACATACCAGTAATGGTACCTAACTCTACTGGAAAATCTAAAATCTTCTCTCCATTTTCAAGTTTATGAAGCGATAAAGTATTCTTAAAATGAAAAATTACATTAAAAAAATAATCTAATAAACAAATAAAATATTACTTTAACATCTTGTAGATAACATATAACTAAGCAATTATTGTTAATAGGATTGGCCCAGTCTAAGACATCTTTTGGATGTTCTGGAACTAAAGTTTCCCAGTTTTCCTCATTCGGATTATTTAGATCAATAACAACCAATCTATAATTAGGTGCATCTTTATTTGTACGAAAGATGCATCTACTGCCACTATTTGTAATGTACTGAAATAATACCAGCTTTATAGATTTGATACATAAATAAATACATACTTGTTTATACTTCATAATCAGCCTTAAATTCAGTTACAATTTCTTTCTTTTTCAGTAAAGTTTTTATTTCAGTAACTTCTTGTAAATCACAAACATAAACAAGATTATTTTTACATCCTATAACTGGAGTCAATATTAGATATCTTCCACAGTCACTAACATGTGCACCTCTAAAATAAAAACAAGTCTTTTTATTTATATTTCTACAAAGAATTAAAATTGATGAACTTACATTCTTATTTGTGGATTATCAAATTCCACAACTAAAATATCATCTGCCTGATCAGTACCAAGCCTATGATAATAAAGTTTTTGATTTTCACTTTGATTTGTTTCTGAGCCATCAGTTTTTCCTTGTTGATTTAAGTAAGCCTTAAATATATTACATTAAAATAGAAAAAAAAACAATAATAAACATATTTATACTAACTCCATAAAAAAAGCCGATGTTATCATGGGTCCAGGTTATAGGGGAATATTTAACTTTTTTGAGAATGTCAGGATAATCATCCCCTAAAACATTAATTAATAAAAAGGATAACAGTATCAAAATTGGTAATAATTACCAGTATCTGCATTACGAAATTTAATTTCTAACCAGTCAGAACCACTTTTACTTAAGCCATAAGCAAGAGTTTTTCCATTTTTTGAGAACTCAGAACCAGACAACGAGACAGTTCCATCTTCTGATAATGTATTAGGATCTAAGAATACTTGAGCTTCATCATGTAATGTATTTTGAACATATATGACACTTTGATTTTGAAGACCTTGTAAATAAAAAAAAATATTTTAAGTTTCCCATAAAAAAAACGTCCAATATGTAGATATACCAGAATTTCTCAATTGATAGTATCTTCCTCCTCTTTGGAAAGGATATGAGTACTTGGGGTAGTTCCAAAGATCAGTAATTCGTTTATTAATAAGTTCTTTGTAAGGACAGCTATTAATATAAGGAGTAGTAACTGCATTTTGAGCATCCACAAATTCTTTAGTTTCATCCGAATCAGGATCTTCTAAATATCTGTAGGGATCACTTACCTAAAATTAAAGGACTTTTATCATGACTCAACAGATACATTTTCCAAGTTTGAAATTCTAACCTCCACACCATTATAAACATCTTTAATAGATTCATCTCTTCTTGCAAATGGATATTTAAAAGGCATTGTACTAGATGAACGTACCAGTGAGGAAGCTGAAAAAACCTTACAGAGCTGCACCCTTAAATTCAATTTATCAGTACCAGAGATTATTATTAAATAAACAAACCTCGCACTTGTTCTTTACCTAAAATTTAAACAACGAAATAACATTTCGTGAAAGATAAGTATGCGTTGACTAACTTTTTTTTAACCAGTTTATAAAAAGATAGAAAACTATATATTTATTTAATTTGCCTCATCTAATTACTAAATACTACAAATGTAAAATAATTAATCGTTAAAAATATGAAAAACGAGAATAAATTACAATTCTCTTTTTCTCTATGGTAGTTTCATGGTAGTTTACTAGTTTATCCTAGTTTATCAATATTATAAAGGAAGTGTTATGCAACCTACAACATACCAATGCAGCACATGAGCATAACTTTACATTTTGTTGCAAGCAATTAATTGCTATGTTATCGTGTGTAATAACTGTATTTATTTGCAAGTAATTACTTTGATCTTTGCTCGTCTCACTTTCTTCGTAACACTTTAGTTTTTGCTTGTTGTTATTGTTTAATTTAGTGAAAATGGTTCGTGTATTTGTTATTGGGGTTGGAATGACAAAAGTGAGTATCTTCAGGTAACAATTAATACAATTAAATAACCCATTCCTTTTTTAATTAGTTTGAAAAACCTGGAAAAGGTGGTGATTATCCTGATTTAGCTAAAGAAGCCATTGTGAAAGCACTTCAAGATGCCAAGACATCATTTACTGAAATTGAAAAGGCTGTGGCTGGTTATGTGTATGGTACATTTTAATCTGAAGATTTTCTGTAAAAGTATTCTTGTGACGTTTATTATTTTTTCTAAGGTGATTCCGCTTGTGGACAGCGTGTCATATATGAAGTTGGAATGACTGGTATTCCTATATTTAATGTTAACAATAATTGCTCAACTGGTTCCAGTGCTTTATATTTAGCTAAGCAGTTGGTTGAAACTGGAAGCAATTGTGTATTAGCTGTTGGATTTGATAAAATGGAAAGGGGTAGTTTACAGTCAAAGGTCACTTAATAAAATAAAGTTTATTTAAAAGTATTTTAAAACTATTCAAATTTTTGTGTTACAGTTTAATGATAGAACCAATCCATTAGACAAGCATGTCACCCTTATGGCTGATATTTGTGGTATTGAACCTTCACCACTGACTCCCCAAATGTTTGGGAATGCTGGAATTGAGCATATGAAGAAATATGGGACAAAGCCAGAGCATTTTGCTAAAATAGCTTATAAGAATCACAAGCATTCTGTTAATAATCCGTAAGGAACAAATTTGTGTTCATTTTTCAAAGTTTTACTGTTTGTTTTACTTAGTTATTCCCAATTTCGTGATGAGTACACTTTAGAACAAATTTTAAATTCACCTCAAGTGTTTGGACCTTTAACAAAATTGCAATGTTGTCCCACAAGTGATGGGGCTGCGGCAGCTGTATTAGCTTCTGAAAGTTTTGTTAAAAGTCATGGTTTAGAAAACCAAGCTGTTGAAATCTTAGGTCTTGAAGTTGCCACAGATTTACCTTCAACCTTCCAAGAAAGGAGTTGTATTAAATTGGTAAATAACTTATCTTTCTCAATAAAAAATATTAAAATATCGCTTTTTACAGGTTGGTTTTGATCTTTCAAAGTTAGCCGCGGAGAAGGCTTTCCAAAAAGCAAAGCTTCGTCCGTCAGATGTTCAAGTAGTTGAATTACATGACTGTTTTTCAACAAATGAACTTATTACTTATGAAGCATTAGGGCTATGTCCTGTAGGTCAAGCAGGTCGTTTTATAGACGCAGGAGACAATACATACGGTGGAAAATACGTTATAAACCCAAGTGGGGGTCTTATTTCCAAAGGGCATCCACTAGGAGCTACTGGAATTGCCCAATGTGCTGAATTGTGTTGGCAGTTGAGGGGGCAAGCTGATAAACGTCAAGTTTCGGGTGCAAAAGTTGCTTTACAGCACAATCTTGGACTAGGTGGGGCTGCTGTTGTTGGAATATATGCCCTAGGTTTTCCTTCTAGCCAACCAACTACTCAGAGAAGTCTAGAATCTTCTAATAAGGGGCCAGTTGGATTTAAAGTAACCCCTTACTTAGCCATTCTTGAAAAGGCTATGAATGAAGACCAGGACAATTTAATTGAAAGGCACAGGGGAATATATGGATTTAAAGTGAAAAAAGCTAGTGGGGAAGAAGCATTTTGGGTCATCAATGCTAAGGTCGGCAAAGGATATGTTGAGTATAATTCCAAATGTAAGATATTTTTCGTCTTTTATTTTTTTATTTATATTTTTGTTTTTGAATCCTTTTTTCAGTAAAGCCTGAGGTAACGTTTATTGTGAACGATGAAGATGTCGTTGATTTGATTTTGGGAAAATTGAATCCCCAAAAGGCGTTCTTTCAAGGCAAAGTGAAAATTCAAGGTAATATGGGGCTGGCAATGAAGCTGACTGAATTACAACGTTCAGCATCCAAGAAAATTGAAGAATTAAGATCTAAACTCTAAAATATCTATTAAAATTTTTAATTATTGTATTGTTAATTTTAGTTACGGTTCTGGATGTTATTGTTTTAAATGATTTTTATAAATGCTTAGTGTATGGTTATTGTGGTGATAATAAGATTATATTTTTGTATTTTGTGAAAGGTAAATTCTTATACTAAATTTCGTTTTACTAGGTAATTCAAAATAAACGTTATATATTACATATGAGTTTTATTTAATAGTTGACTTAGTTGAGCTACTCTTCGCAATACACATTTGATTTATTCAATATTTGAGGCAGAAACAAATTATTTCAGTGGTATTGCATTTGTTTACTGAGAGATTAAAAGATTAAAACTTATCAATCAAGGATATTATCGAACCTTTACTGATAAGTACAACTCCATAATCCTTTTATTTATTATAATTATTATGCTTCAAAAACGATAATCAAAACCTATTTTAGCAACAAATTAAATTTGAATTTGCCAAAGCTAATGTGAACCTATAATAGATGGCGCAGTAGGTTCCCTTCTGGCTATTTATTCTTCCTGTTTTTCCTTGGTTTCTAGGTATTTAATGTATTTATTTATTCTTAGGAAAAATTTACCACTCTATTTGTTTATAAAAAAAAACAGATTTTGAATAAAAGCTTAGTGATACCCATTCAAAATTAACTATATATGTATTTTAATTTTATAGTTTTGCATAGTATCCTTGGAATTACGTAAGTCAATAAAAGTACATAAATACATTAGTTATTAGTGTAACTTTAGGTGTATAGAAAGATATCTAAATGTAATTCTGCGTTTGTACGATTAATTTAAANNNTTATTTTTTTAAAATTTATTATGATATACAAGCAAATAAAGGGAATTAAGATAGATAAATTTATAATAATCTAAATGAAATTTTAAATTTTGTGGAAGTTGATATACATTCGACAACATTGTTGTTGTAAAGCGCATGTGTAAGAAAAACCGGCTGTTCCATTAGAATGCCTTACAGGGCAAGGGCAAGCTGTAAAACTTTGAATTTATTTATGATTTATTATTCGTTTGAATAATATTTATCAATCATTTTAGTCCATTTTCTACAAAGCTTTTCAGTTACCGCTTGTATAAATTAAGCCATTTAATAAATACTTCATTACTTCTGAAATATAAATTTAAGATTTTTCCAATGGCGTATCACGCGTGTACTTATAGGCGTATAAAAATAATACATTCAAATTTTGTAACCTTTGCCACTATATTATTATACTATAAAATTTGAAAACGCTTATTATTTATACAGAAATAAATGTAATATTCGTTTATTATTTAACAAAAAATATACAGATGTAATAGAAACATTACAAAAAATTGCATTTAAACACAAAAAGATTTACATAAAAATCGCAAACAGGTACTTATTAAGTACATTTTTTCTAGAACTAAAATACAGAACGTTTTGTTTTAAAGGTACATCAGACTGTTAATGTTCTTCATAAATTATATAAAAGGTCATTCATAAAACTTAAGATTTAATGACTTTTGGATGAAACAGAAAATGTCTGTAAGCTCCTCAATCTTAAAAAGAAGGATTATTAAAATAACCAATTAGTAATATCTAATTTATATAATAAATAATACGAATTATTTTCTTACTACTTTAGAAGTGGGTTTCCCTGCTCCATGACCAGCTCTTGTTTCAATACGAATCATTAGTGGATTTTTTTGTTGGGGTAACTGTCCTATTTTGTAATGTAATTCGGCAATAAATTTAAGAGAATGTAGAGGTACTACACGGTCATCATGATCTGCAGTTAACAACAAAGTGGCCGGATACTGACCTTTATCTAAAAAAGAAAAACGGGATGCGAACTAGTTTTCTAAAAATATAACAAAAATAATCACTTGAGGGTTCTTTAATATTGTGTAAAGGTGAATATTTGTATAAATATTTGAACTGCTCATCGTTATCGCTGCATCCGTAATCTGATGTCCAAGCATAACCAATCGTAAATTTATGGTAACGTAACATGTCTAAAACGCTAAAATAGAATATCAGAATTTTTAATAGAAGTCTAGATTGCCTAATCAACAGCTTTTAATTTACTGAAACTTACCCAACTTGACAAATAGCAGCTCCAAATAGCTCAGGGGTCTGATTAATACATGCTGCAACTAGAAGGCCGCCATTTGAGCCACCCTGTATAGTCAACTTATTAGAACTGGTATATTTATTTTTAATAAGATATTGCGCAGCATACTGGAAGTCATCAAAAACATTTTGTTTGTTCTCAAAACGACCGGCATTGTGCCAGTTTTCACCATACTCTCTGAAAAATATATATTTAAAAGAATACAAACAATGTTTAGAATGTCTTTACCCGCCCCCTCTTATATTTGCTAAAGCAAAAATTCCATCAAAACTATTTATGAAAACTAAACGTGAAATAGCAAATGAGGGTTGAACATTAATATGTGAAATTTACCGAACTGCAATAACAGCAAACGGATGTAGAAAATTAATCTATAAAAAATAAAAGCAAATGTGTTACTAGTAGGACATAAGTTTTTGACACAAGAATAACAATCTCAGTTCTGACTAGTAACAATCACCGTTTGCAGTCTGTCATTGAAAAACTGCTGCAATGTTCGAAATTTAGCTACAGGTTTTTGGCTAGTTATTATTGGAATTTGTACCAAATAATTAACAATTGCAAACGTTAAGAGTTAACAAAACGGTAAAAATGAACAAAAATTTTGACTTCTTAGCTGAGAGAGGGAAAATCGCGTTCATCATCGACTTTTGGTGCCCTTTCTGCACGCTGTGAAGAGTCATCGTGATCCTCGTTAGCCACACCACCAGCTCCAGCCCCTGGGCCTCCACGGAAACGTTGTTGTGGTTGTTGTCGGTCTCTGTTTGATCTTGCGCCACGACCAGCTCTTCCTCCTCTGCCACGTCCACCAGTTCCACCACGTCTACTATCGTTGAAATGAATATCAATATCCAGTATATGTTTTTGCCTTCCAACACGTTGTGGGTATTCATTTTGATCATATTCTTCTTCCTCGGATTCCTTCAAAAAAAAAAAAAAACATTAAAATTCTCTACAGATTTCAGAAAATCAGTAAATTTAGAATATTGTGCATCAGAAATTCAAAAACAATCAGGTATATAAAGATACCTTTACTTTTAACATAAAAGTGGTATTTCAATCAATTTATCTGGAACATTTTTAAGTTAATGTTAACTGGTATCATTAAAGTTGTTCAAGTAGTATAATAAAAGAGAGAAATGTAAATATAATCTTACCTCAGTCTCTTCTTCCTTTTTCTTCAATTCATACATCTTTTTCCATTGGGTTGGGTCTTCACCTTCTCCGGCTTTACGTATGTTATATTGAGGTTTTGTACGACCAGCGCGTTGAGCCTCACGTTGAGCCTTCCATTCATCCAGAGTGAGTTCCTTTGGCTCTTCCACTTCTGGAGCAGCTTCTGGTTCAGGTTCTCCACTATCCCTAACATAGTTGAAAAATTTTAATTCAAAATAAGTATAAGTTTTCGTTCAGTAGTTTGGCAAACCTCATGGATTACTTACTTATTTTCTCCAGCTGATAATCCAGAATCGTTTTTATCGACATCGCCCCAGGAAGCATCAATTTCTTCAGCCTTGTTAACTTCTCTATAATATGAATTTATTAGCAATAAACAATTGTCGGTAAACCTCATACTCACTCTATAATATCCTTGTGAGATCCCCAATTATGTGCACCAGCTCCGTCTCGTTTTTCAATCGGTTTTACGCCACTACAAATTCAATAACACTTCATTATAAACACCAGTATAAAAATACAAAAACCTACGTTTTATCTGATCCACTTTGTCTATCAAATTCCCGCTTTCCTCGTCGCTCAAAATTGCGATTATTCCTAGGTCCGCGAGGTCCATCTNATTGTGTGAAATCAACTCTGAATATTATACTCGGAGTTAAGAATGAGCAAAACCCATAAAACATTTCTGTATGGTCTCTTTCACCTGACATACCAGTAATGGTACCTAACTCTACTGGAAAATCTAAAATCTTCTCTCCATTTTCAAGTTTATGAAGCGATAAAGTATTCTTAAAATGAAAAATTACATTAAAAAAATAATCTAATAAACAAATAAAATATTACTTTAACATCTTGTAGATAACATATAACTAAGCAATTATTGTTAATAGGATTGGCCCAGTCTAAGACATCTTTTGGATGTTCTGGAACTAAAGTTTCCCAGTTTTCCTCATTCGGATTATTTAGATCAATAACAACCAATCTATAATTAGGTGCATCTTTATTTGTACGAAAGATGCATCTACTGCCACTATTTGTAATGTACTGAAATAATACCAGCTTTATAGATTTGATACATAAATAAATACATACTTGTTTATACTTCATAATCAGCCTTAAATTCAGTTACAATTTCTTTCTTTTTCAGTAAAGTTTTTATTTCAGTAACTTCTTGTAAATCACAAACATAAACAAGATTATTTTTACATCCTATAACTGGAGTCAATATTAGATATCTTCCACAGTCACTAACATGTGCACCTCTAAAATAAAAACAAGTCTTTTTATTTATATTTCTACAAAGAATTAAAATTGATGAACTTACATTCTTATTTGTGGATTATCAAATTCCACAACTAAAATATCATCTGCCTGATCAGTACCAAGCCTATGATAATAAAGTTTTTGATTTTCACTTTGATTTGTTTCTGAGCCATCAGTTTTTCCTTGTTGATTTAAGTAAGCCTTAAATATATTACATTAAAATAGAAAAAAAAAACAATAATAAACATATTTATACTAACTCCATAAAAAAAGCCGATGTTATCATGGGTCCAGGTCATAGGGGAATATTTAACTTTTTTGAGAATGTCAGGATAATCATCCCCTAAAACATTAATTAATAAAAAGGATAACAGTATCAAAATTGGTAATAATTACCAGTATCTGCATTACGAAATTTAATTTCTAACCAGTCAGAACCACTTTTACTTAAGCCATAAGCAAGAGTTTTTCCATTTTTTGAGAACTCAGAACCAGACAACGAGACAGTTCCATCTTCTGATAATGTATTAGGATCTAAGAATACTTGAGCTTCATCATGTAATGTATTTTGAACATATATGACACTTTGATTTTGAAGACCTTGTAAATAAAAAAAAATATTTTAAGTTTCCCATAAAAAAAACGTCCAATATGTAGATATACCAGAATTTCTCAATTAATCACTTGAGGGTTCTTTAATATTGTGTAAAGGTGAATATTTGTATAAATATTTGAACTGCTCATCGTTATCGCTGCATCCGTAATCTGATGTCCAAGCATAACCAATCGTAAATTTATGGTAACGTAACATGTCTAAAACGCTAAAATAGAATATCAGAATTTTTAATAGAAGTCTAGATTGCCTAATCAACAGCTTTTAATTTACTGAAACTTACCCAACTTGACAAATAGCAGCTCCAAATAGCTCAGGGGTCTGATTAATACATGCTGCAACTAGAAGGCCGCCATTTGAGCCACCCTGTATAGTCAACTTATTAGAACTGGTATATTTATTTTTAATAAGATATTGCGCAGCATACTGGAAGTCATCAAAAACATTTTGTTTGTTCTCAAAACGACCGGCATTGTGCCAGTTTTCACCATACTCTCTGAAAAATATATATTTATTTAGAATATTGTGCATCAGAAATTCAAAAACAATCAGGTATATAAAGATACCTTTACTTTTAACATAAAAGTGGTATTTCAATCAATTTATCTGGAACATTTTTAAGTTAATGTTAACTGGTATCATTAAAGTTGTTCAAGTAGTATAATAAAAGAGAGAAATGTAAATATAATCTTACCTCAGTCTCTTCTTCCTTTTTCTTCAATTCATACATCTTTTTCCATTGGGTTGGGTCTTCACCTTCTCCGGCTTTACGTATGTTATATTGAGGTTTTGTACGACCAGCGCGTTGAGCCTCACGTTGAGCCTTCCATTCATCCAGAGTGAGTTCCTTTGGCTCTTCCACTTCTGGAGCAGCTTCTGGTTCAGGTTCTCCACTATCCCTAACATAGTTGAAAAATTTTAATTCAAAATAAGTATAAGTTTTCGTTCAGTAGTTTGGCAAACCTCATGGATTACTTACTTATTTTCTCCAGCTGATAATCCAGAATCGTTTTTATCGACATCGCCCCAGGAAGCATCAATTTCTTCAGCCTTGTTAACTTCTCTATAATATGAATTTATTAGCAATAAACAATTGTCGGTAAACCTCATACTCACTCTATAATATCCTTGTGAGATCCCCAATTATGTGCACCAGCTCCGTCTCGTTTTTCAATCGGTTTTACGCCACTACAAATTCAATAACACTTCATTATAAACACCAGTATAAAAATACAAAAACCTACGTTTTATCTGATCCACTTTGTCTATCAAATTCCCGCTTTCCTCGTCGCTCAAAATTGCGATTATTCCTAGGTCCGCGAGGTCCATCTTTATTTCCAACATTCCTGTTCCTTGGACGTCCCTCAAAGTTATCAGATAAATCTTTCCTTGGAGGTCGATCATCTCTATCACTATATTTATATCACTGTATTGTAAGCACGAGATGCACAATAGAAGCTTCAAAAACTTACCGATTTCCATCTACAGGTCCATTAAATTGTCTATCTTCACGATTTCGCCGGTTATTTCGTTCCTCACGATTTTCGTTATTGAACTTGTTAAAGTTTCTTTCTGGTTTGCTTTCAATATTAGAGCGTGGATTAGGCTTAGTATCTACAATGATGCGATGCTTAACGTTTCACTTTATACAGACAGAATGTGATGGTTACATGAATTCAATTATGCTACTATCACATGTGCAATTTAGGATGATGGCTACCTACTTACCCTCACGCTTGCTATCTTGGGGCTTGTGGGCCGGAGTCTCTTTATTCGTTTTCTTGGAACCTTGTACCGTTTTCACTTTAGTCGGGGCATCCGTCTTTATTTTATTTTCCTTCTCAGAAGCCTTATTCTTCTTCTTTTGCTCTTTTTCCTGTTCTTTCTCTTTAAGAAGTTCTAGCGGATCTGATTCATCATCCAAAAAAAGAGCATATCTATTACGTGTGCCAATTCCATAAGAATTCTCCATTATAGTTGTGGCAACGATTAATCTTCACAACGACGAGATGTTGGAAGATTTGTTTTGGCTCTTTCGCCAATGTTTTCACGCACTCATTCAAGACAATATGGCCGCACTACTCAATCAGTCGGTTGGTTTACCAAAGTGACGCCTTGTTGCCAAATATAAGCATCTGACAAAACAATTTGAAAATATTTTTTTTACTTTTCGACTCCTTTAAAATTCATAGCTTGGGACAATGGAGATTATTTTTTTAAAATTTATTATGATATACAAGCAAATAAAGGGAATTAAGATAGATAAATTTATAATAATCTAAATGAAATTTTAAATTTTGTGGAAGTTGATATACATTCGACAACATTGTTGTTGTAAAGCGCATGTGTAAGAAAAACCGGCTGTTCCATTAGAATGCCTTACAGGGCAAGGGCAAGCTGTAAAACTTTGAATTTATTTATGATTTATTATTCGTTTGAATAATATTTATCAATCATTTTAGTCCATTTTCTACAAAGCTTTTCAGTTACCGCTTGTATAAATTAAGCCATTTAATAAATACTTCATTACTTCTGAAATATAAATTTAAGATTTTTCCAATGGCGTATCACGCGTGTACTTATAGGCGTATAA